ATATTTATTGCGCACAAAAAAGAGCGCTTAGTTCTCAATTTATTTCTCCATGTTTTTAAAACTGTAATGTCAACATATTACTAACCATGTGTTCCTAACATATTCTTTTCTGTTTCCACAACCAAACATTCCTCATAATTGTTGTTAAATAGTTCTCCTGACCCTGATATTGTAGTCATCGAACATTTCGCTTATTTATACTGCCATTTTGGTTTCAAAGCTAATTCGGTCCAATACGCTTCGTTGACAGATGTCAACTATGAGAGTACTTGATTGAGGATAAAGAAATTTTTTTAAATCTTTCCTTTTTTTGTAATTGAGGTAAGGATTTGGAAGAATTAATCAAGAACCGAGCACACTTTTTTGTGCGCAATAAATATATACAGTTTTTCAATTGGTGGCACTGTAGCTCTCCAGTCTATATCAATATATTTTTTTTTCGGAGAGCTATACAGATCTGCAGCTAAGGACATACAAACTACTTTCTATACACAATTTTCCACTATGAAGATGCTATTCATCAAACAAGGAAAAGAATATGTAGTGAAAAAGTTTTAAAATAAATGTATGCATATATTTTCAAGCACAGGTCCGCTCTCCTATATATCATAATTATTTTAGCTATTTCAAAATGATTTTTTGTACATACACAAATTCATTTTTCTGCAGAAGTTTTTATATAAAGTTTAAGAACTTTTGCATTAAAAAATATTTACACCAGATTCATTAACATGAAATCAACTATTGCATTGGATTAATTATTACGTTTTGTTCATTACACCTCAGTCTATGGTTAATTGCAGATAATCTCGCCAAATGCTCTGCGACTTTTATTTCTGACTTCCGTAAATTTAGAGGAAATTCGGATTGAAAAACTTCGTAGCATGTCTATGCCTATAAAACCCAATGGGATTTTGTAGTAATTAGTCATACTCACAATATCATACTTTTATTATATTGTTTAACTGATTTTTCATGTGCAAGCCTAACTACTTACCCCTTTATCACCGATCTCAATATCATCAATCCGTGGCGTGGCCTCACCAGTAGACTCCATAGCGTTTGGTGATCAGCTGATTCAGATTTGAAAATATCACGGGGTTATTGCTATTAAATTAATTTAATAATAATCTTAGGATTATATTGGCCAATTTGTCAGCAAGAAATACATTCTTTGTATTTATTTCCGACTGAAATAGGAATGCCTATTTGCGGTTTCGTTTTGTGAAAACCAAATCTGTAGTTTTAGTAAACCAGGATAATCCTGATATTAAGTAGGTCAATGCTGGTTTTAAAATAGGTCAATGCTAGTTCTATCCTTTGCTTGCTGATGCTGATCCAAGTAATGCTGTTTTTTTAAATGCTGATGCGGGTGCGTCGATTTACCCAAAAGGACCCAAAAGGAACCCAAAAGGACCCAAAAGGACCCAAAAGGAACCCAAAAGGACCCAAAAGGAACCCAAAAGGACTCAAATAAATATTTTAATATACATTGAAAATTAATAATTTGAATTAAATTATGAATATTATATTATAAATTTACCTAAAAGTTGGCAAAAACATACATTTATATTGTTGTAACTTTTTTCAAAGAAATAACATACAACTTTTATTACACATCAAACACTAAGGCGACCATAATTTGATTTTTAGTTTTACGGATTTTTTTTCAAGAAAGGTCAAGTCGGAGGACGAAAAAAAAAAAAAAAAAAGACAAAAATCATTCTAGCAACGACCTTTTTCACATATAAAAAGTCACACATTTCACTGTAGTATAAAACAAAACAATAAACAACTTACAAGATATGTTTTTTTTAATATTAATACACATTACTTGTATAAATGTTGTTATTTATAAAAATGACAACTTTTAATTCAAACATTGTTTAATATGAGTACCATTTAATATTTGAAATTATATAAATTTAATTATGTTCTTCACTGTATAGTTTGCACATTCATTTGAATGTCATTTGAATAATATTCAGGGTAAATATCGTAGTTTAACTTGGCAATTAAAAGATTTAATAATATTCTGCAGACGGTCTGAGTTTCCGGCTTTTAACTGATTGATGAATGGATTTTTCTCATTATAAGGAGCAAGACAACTGTTTCCTGGATTTAATAAAGATCTGAAATTGAAGGAATTGGAAGTACCTGTTAGCCAAACTTAAAACTTTATACATTTTTAAAAATTACATGCGTAATCTATTGAGAATGAATTAGATGGATTCTTAGATCCTGCATTCTTTTTTTCACTCTTAGTACATATGATATCAAAGCATTATTGTAGTCCTGTTCCAATTTGCTAATATTATATTTTGAAATTCAGAAACTTTATTACCCTGTTTAGCTACTTAAATTCAAAGAAGTCTTCTACAGGTACTGTCAAGTTGCTCTGCAGTTTCAAGGGCTTTTATATACTGGTGTTGATGTAGGATTTGCTAAGTCACTGAATCTCATAATACGCAGTGTTCCCTCTGCAGACTCTTTATTAGTTACCATGTACTTGCTTTCATTTCCTCTTTAAATTATTAATAAAGTACTATAGTTTATGTCTTTCCTGGTCACCGTATTATTTATGGAGGAATTGTTTTGTTTTAGGCGCATATAAACTTGTTTGCAGCAAAGTATCAAAAAAATTCATATCGTTATTTACCGCCCTTTTTTGCAAAATTTCCACATCTGGTATCTCTGTCTTTGATAAAAAACACTTTTAATGAAGATAATGAGCAATTACAACAGCAATTCCATCTGGTAGCACAGTTGACACCTTGATTATTGCCTGTTATCAGTGGCAATAAGCAGATTAGCTACCGGTAAACACTGCATGACAGCCATTTTTGTTTTGACTTGTCGGTATTTTACAAATCGAAGAAGGTAAAAAATCCGGATATTTTCGAAATCGGTAGAAACAGCAATTAAAAAAATAGAGAGAGACATGCGATGGGGAGGTTTCAGAATTGGTAGACTCTCGATAAAATCAAAGTTGACAGCTCACCTTCTTCTACCATTCTGCACATGTGTTTTTTTTTACGTTTCTGACTGATTTGCTTTTATAAAACACAGGTTTGACACGAGCGGATTGAAAAATTCCGATTTTATTTTTTTTTTGAAATGCAAATTTTAAGAGTCGGCGGATCCGTAAAACTAAAAATCAAATTATGGTCGCCTAAATCGAACCAGATACGCTTTGATTTCTTTTAGCTGAAATTAACAAAGTACAATGTATTATTCTCTTTCTCCTTGGTTTTACCACATCTTACTATATGATATTTATTAAATAAAGAAATAAAGCTTTATTTAATGGCATGTGGTATCGGGGATAGGTGTGGAAGGGGGGGGGGGGGTACCTCCCAACCCCACCCCAAACACAAACTTTACCCTAAAAAAGTAGTTTTAGTTTTAATAAAATATGAAAGTATATATTATATATCCATTTTTTCTCTTTATTTCAAGTCCTTTTGGGTCGTTCTTTATTTCCTTTTGGGTCCTTTTGGGTTCCTTTTGGGTCCTTTTGGGTTCCTTTTGGGTCCTTTTGGGTTCTTTTGGGTCCTTTTGGGTAAATCGACGCACCGGCTGATGCTGATGCTAGCTCTATCCTGATCCTACTTATGCTGATCCTGATGCTGGTTTTTGTAACAAAATTAGTTCCCTGCACTGTAATCCAGAGAAATATTTCCATCTTGGGCATGAAGATTTTACAGCGCGTTTACATTAACTTTTCAGCGGGTTTACATCTTTCACGTGTTTAGATCTATCACACAACAAGTGGTCTTGCAGGCTAACAAATGATTGCATCATACTACAATTCAGAAATCACGTGATTTACCTGTGCACATGGAAAGTCCCAACTAGCTAATACCATGCATACGATGTTTTCTTCAGATTTTAGTATATATGTGCATTTTTTTCACTCAGAGAAGGAATCATATTCAAATTATCCTAAATAAATTTCAAGAAATGAGCTTACAATGTTCAAGTAGAAAGGGATGTGCAAGTAGTAGGTTTCCTAATTAAATTATCAGTGTGTTTAAGATAGATATTTACACTAGAGAATGCTAGCTGAAACTATAGTACTTAGGTTGTTGTTTTTTAGCCTTTTGTCACATCACATTCAGTTTTTGGTACAAAGTAAGTTGTTTTTATTCAGATAAAATATCAGTTTTTCTTCAACTCTGTGTTTAATTCTACTCTCAGTTTCAAAAAAACGATCATGATTTTAATTAGTTAAGAATTTACAAGTTAATTATGTTTGATCTTGGGCTAATTCTTGTATAATCAATGCAATCAAATGACAGTTTCTCAAGTTAAATCTTCTACCCTGACACCCTGAGGCATGTTAATTAGCCAGGTGGCTGAGTGAATCGTTCAAGCGTGAAGTGATTTCCTGTCGTGAATTCACACTTGGTTGCGTTATGTAAACAAGAGATTATCAGTATGCACTGAATCAACAGAACAGCTAAGGAATATCGCCTACACTGGGAATATTTATTAATTTTTTGTCAGGAAAAAAGGACATGGCGCCGAGAAAAGGGGGCATGGCTTTAGATTTAACACTAAATTGATCATTCTTCTTGAACTTTATGGTCTTCTTTACAGGTCAACTTGTATAATTAAAAAAAAAAACAATATGGCTGACCAGAAATCTGTAATCGGAAAATTTCTTAAAAACAAATATAACGATTATAAGAAATGAGTCCTCATAATTATTCTAGTAATGATCAAGGGTTTCTTAAATTGATTCCATATTGCTTATTAGACTTAATACATAAATACATTTCCTTAGACTGTTGAAAATATTTTATATTTAAAAATCGGCAATCTTCGTAAATAAGGAGCTATTTGATTGGTCAGATTTTAAATTTTTTCTTTGCTTTTCTCTGATTGGTTAACGGTAATTTACCCACGCCATTTTGAAAAATAGATCGACGAACCGAATTGAGAGAGTTGGTGATGTTTAATAAAATTTAGCTAGTATTCGCCGATAAAATTTGTAGAAAATAGATGTTTAGCTACAGCATGTTAGCATGGATCACATTTATAAACAAAGAAAAGCGAAAACGGAAGGATTTTGGCGTTTTTCAAGCATCATGCCCTGGCTTTCCTGGTGTAAACAACGCCATATGCGGTAAGATTTTACATAAAATAGCACAGTAGTTTCAATTTTTAAAATGTGAAATGTAGATTAATAAATGTTAATAATATCTTTTATAACCAATTCATAGTAGGTCAAATTGAATGCAGATATATTGGAGATGTTGGATTTGTGGCGAAAGAGAGTTTTGTTATGCTTCTTTCTATCTTGAATTGTATGGATAATTACGGGCTTTCAACATGTTCAATGGCAAATGATATTATTTACATGTACCAAAAATGACTTCAAAATTAATTTCACCCTATCCCTCAGGCCTAAACATGGAATTATAACAGATAAAATCATCTTGGCATACAACCAATTAAATTTTGAAAAGTGAAGGGGGGGGAGGGGTAATCATTGCAACTATGTTCATGGATTTATGGTTTAGCATACTTATAATTATTTCAAAAATGACTTGAACAGTTTGTGTGGTTCCCTATCGTATATGATTTAATGATTCTAGGCACAAACTAATTATTTTTTATATCAATATATGAATATCCATTTTTCCCTTCCCAATATCAGTTTAAGATTTCAAATCAAATGACCTCCCCCCCCCCCAATTCCAATGGCATACAACCATTTAAATTTTGAAATGTGAAAGGGGGGGGGGATCATTGCAACTAAGCTTCATGGATTTATGGTTTAGCATACTTATAATTTATTTCAAAAATGACTTGAGAAGAAGGTGGTAAGAAAGATTTTTTTTGGCACAAACTAATTATTTTTTATATCAATATATGATGATCTGTATTTCCCTTGCCCAATATCATTTTAAGATTTCAAATCAAATGACCCCCCCCCCCCAATAAAAGGGGGGGATAGTGGCTCAATTTGTAGAATATTTTGCCATGAAAAATTCCAATGAGGTACGTGTATTGACAGTTTTATATTTTCATTTTTTGATGCTCTGTATTTCTTCCTGTTCTGCAAAACATTTATATCAGTATCATTACTTTTACAGTTTGTGTGCCTCTGCAGAGCCATAGAAGAAAAGCTGATTAGTTATAGAGGAATAGGACACCCACCCACCCTCCCACCCTACCCCTTGAAGCATTACAGGTGTGTAACATTGACAATATCAGCTAATCGTGTGAAGATTTCTTTTTGTGTGTGTCTGTGCATCTAATCTTGATATACCCTGGTACATTTTGATATTCTATTTTGTAGATTATGCAGGACCAAGCAGGATGACAGTGAGAAAACTGGAGATGTACTTTTTCAACAAAGTAAAGTGCTGTGCAAAAGAAACCCCAAAGCAGAGAGAAGATCTAGACTTTTGAATTCATATCTCATTATAAATGTACAATTTACAAAGACAATAAGATTGATAAAACATGACTTAGAAATGAGGACAATTGAAGAGTGAATACTGTATGTAAGACAGAAAAGATCAAGATTATTGCACAAAAAGTAACTAAATCAGTAATCTTAAGACATTTCTCTTTAAAATCTGATTGAAAGCTGCATTTAAGAACAAGTTTTTCACGTTTTTAGTACTTTTCTAGGCACTGCTTTGTATTATTTAAAGCTTTTTTATGTACTTTTTGTCTATCATTCTTGTACCTTTTTTGAAATCCTAAATGTATTTTTTTTGTATCTTTCATGTATGTATCATTTTTAGATTTTTTTTGTTTTAAAATCGATTTTAATACAGAAATAATATACTGATACAAAATTAATACATTTTGTATTATTTTCCTATTTTTTTTCAAGGTGCTCCAAATAATACAGAAATAATAGACTGATACAAAATTAATACATTTTGTATTATTTTCCTATTTTTTTTTCAAGGTGCTCCAAATAATACAGAAATAATAGACTGATACAAAATTAATACATTTTGTATTATTTTCCTATTTTTTTTTTAAGGTGTTCCTAATAATACAGAAATGATAGACTGATACAAAATTAATACATTTTGTATTATTTTCCTATTTTTTTTTCAAGGTGCTCTAAATAATACAGAAATAATAGACTGATACAAAATTAATACATTTTGTATTATTTTCCTATTTTTTTTTAAGGTGTTCCAAATAATACAGAAATAATAGACTGATACAAAATTAATACATTTTATATTATTTTTGTATTTTTTAGTTCTTCTCTAAATTGTATTATTTTTGTACTTTGGATAAGGATTTAATACAGAAAAAATACAAGAGTACAGAAAAAATACATCAAGTGTATTATTTTTGTATTTTTACTGAGAAATAAAGTATATTAAAAATATATTTTTTTGTGTTTCATTTCTAAGAAAGTGTATTATTTTTGACCTAATTTGGAACCAAGATAAAAAGGGTTCCAAATTTGGTCATTAAAAATATACTTTTTTTGTATTATTTTTGTATTATTTTAATCTATTATTTTTATATTTATTTTCGATATGGGCAAACTTGAATCTACACTACCTGACTCAGAGGATGCTTCCATATAAATATGGTCAATGATGGTATGATCAATTATGGCTTTGTTTTTCTTGAGAAAAAGATTTATAAAGAATTTTTCTATATATTTCTATGTAAAACTTTGGTTGGCCATTGTGGCCCCGCCCTACCCCCAGGGGTCATGATTTGAACAAACTTGCATCGATACTACGTGAGGATGTTTCCCCATAAGTTTCATCTTTCCTAGCACAGTGGTTCTTGAGAAGAAGATTTTTAAAACATACCATCAAATTTTCATTAATTCCCAATTATCTCGCCTTGAATGGGGGCGTGGCCCTTCATTTGAACAAACTTGAATCCCCTTTACCCAAGGAAATTTCATGGCAAGTTTGGTTGAAATCGGCCCAGTCATGAATATTCAAACTGAAATTTTGTATACAAATTTGGTCACATGTTTAATACCCGTATTTCATGCAAGGAAATGTGTAGGCCTATCCACTAAGTTTTTGATCACGGATAAAAAAGTAGCAAACAGAAGCATATACATGTATAAGGCAGGTTGTAAACTTTGTTGACATGGTACTATTGGCCAATAATAAAGACACATCAAGTTTATTTAATCATCTTCAAGTCAAACATTAATCAACCTAATTAATGTATCTCTTATTTAATTAAGATACTATGATATTGGCCGCCATAATTATCAAAAGTAATAAAAGGTGTATATTGTGCAGAAAAAAATATTCCAGATAGACATACAGAATCGATTGATCAGATTTATAATGCCTTATAAATAATTTCAGAAAGTATATGAAAAATATACATTAAAATTTTTGGAGAATATTTTATTTTAAATATGAAAAATAAAAAAAGATGTGTTTGTGAAACACTATGTGCCCGGCGTCAACAAAGTTCTAATAAGCTATTTTTTGTATATAGGTCACAGTCAAGGTCACAAGGTCATTGACCTTGGTGTTGTTTGTGAGAACTGAATTAGTGGGGTATGCATACTAAATATGAAGTCTTTATCTCCTATGGCTCAAAAGTTGTGGCAAAAAGTGGAAAAAGCTATTTTTAGCATAAAGGTCACAGTCAAAGTCACAAGGTCATTGTCCTTGATTTCATTTGAAGGAACCTTATTAATGGAGTATGCATACCAAATATGAAGTCTCTATCTCTTATGGTTCAAAAGTTATGACAAACAGTTGAAAAACCTATTTTTTTGCATACAGGTCACAGTCAAGGTCACAAGGTCATTGACTTTGATGTCATTTGAAAGAACTTTATTAGAGGAGTATGCATACCAAATATGAAGTGACTCTATCTCTTACGGTTCAAAAGTTTTGGCGAAGGTTAAAGTTGACAACAGACAGACAGACAAACAGACAGGACAAAAACAATTTGTGCCCCGAAAAAATTTGGGCGCATAAAAATTACCGGACGTTTCCGGAAAGGGACCATTTTAGTCTTATTAATATAACAGTAAACATGGCAGGCACCTGCAGGTTTGGTAATTGCACGTTTTACATAATCGAAATGCAATACAAGTGTCCTATTTAAAGAATGAGGGAGGCTTATGATTGTTGATAAAGATTCTTTTTTCTAATCTATTTTTTTCTTAAAAATAAACATGAATCCTACATTTGTAATAATATACATTGTGTACATACATGATTGTTGATAAATTAAAGATTCTTTTTCTAATTTAGTTTTTTCTTAAAAATATATAAACATGAGTCCTAATATTATACATTGTACATGTCAAAAGACTTTGAACAGATCTTTATATCTTACACCTATCTTAAATACATACATGTAGATATAAAGAAATGAACAATTATAGAATTTGCAAGAAAAGCATAAATAACTCTAACACTTTTTATTTGATTATCGAATGATTGAATACAAATCGATTAACAGTCATGAATAATCAAATGTTAATTTATGGTATTCGTTTCAGCTCTACTGCTTATATGCAAAAATTGTGTGAAATGAGAACTTACCAAATTTATCCATAAGAAAGATATGGACCGGACACAAATTTATCCATAAGAAAGATATGGACCGGATACAAATTATGAAATTTTTTTCCAGTGACCTTGAAGTTCCCCAAATGACTTTGGGTCAAGATCATGACACACCCTTAGGTCATGGGCAATCTTTGTGTGAAATGAGAACCTTGCAAGATTTTTAAAGATTTTTCCTATATAAACCTATGTAAAACTTTGATGACAGCCATTGTGGCCCCACCCTACCCCTGTGGTTTATGATTTGCACAAACTTGAATGTACACTACCTGAGGATGATTCCAAATAAGCTTTTCTTGCCAAGTGGTTCTTGAGAAGAAGATATGTAAAGATTTTCCAAAGTTAACCTTTGACCCCCATCTTGCCCCCCTCTTACTCCCAGGGGTCATGGTTTGAACAAATTTGAATCTTTGCTACCTGAGGATGATTCCACATGAATTTCATCATTCCCGGCCCAGTGATTCTTGAAAGGAAGATTTTTAAAAAGTTCCCTATTTATTCCCATGTTAAAACTTTGACCCCCCCCATTGTGGCCCCACCCTAGCCCTGGGGGTCATAATTTGAACAAACTTGAATCTACACTACCTGAGGATGCTTCTACATGCATGAGTTTCATCTTTTCTGGCCCAGTTGTTCTCAAGAAGAATATTTTTTTAGAAATGCCATTAATTTTTCACTTATTCATTATTATAACTCCTTGGAAGAGGGACATATGTGGCCCTTCATTGAACAAACTTAAATCCCCTTCACTTAAGGATACTTAGTGGCAAGTTTGGTTGAAATTGGCCTAGTGCTTCTTAAAGATTACAACGATGACAAAAGCAAATGGGTAGAATTCATCAACCTATAGGATTCAATATATCGCAGAGAAAAAGTGATAGGTACCAGATTTAATATTTTGCCGTATCAAAATATTATGCTACACAGGCCTAGGGATCAAATATATGCTGAGCTGGCACCATTCATACTATTACTAAGCAAAAGCTCTCATCAATAACTATCAGAATATGAAGTTACAAAGATATTATAAATGGTTTCTTTAGAACTGACTTAAACACAAATGGATAAAAGTTAGGTCAAGGTTAATGAAAGGTCAAGGTAAACAAGAGGCCCATTGGCCGCAGCGCTCACCTGAGCAACTTGGGTGATGCAGTTCTTTACCAGATTCCCCCTCTTGCTATACCTATCATGCCCCATTACCCCCTTCCCTTATATGATTTTTTAAAACTTTAGAATCTACACTTCTCAATGATGCTTCTATATAAGATTCAGCTTTCCTGGCCCAGTGGTTCTTGAGAAGATTTTTAAAAATTTGATCTATGTAATAGTTGGATTCCCTATTGTGGCCCTGCCCTACCCCTGGGGGTCATGATTTTAAAAATTTAATATCTACACTACCCAAGGATGCTTCCACATAATTTTCAGCTTTCCTGGTAAAGTGGTTCTTGAGAAGAAGATTTTAAGTGGCCCCACCCTATTTTTATCTTTTCTTGATTATCTCCCCTTGAAAGGGGACTTTGCCCTTTATTTTGACAATTTAAACTCCCCCTTCATCCAAGGATGCTTTGTACCAAGTTTGGTTAAAATTTGCCCATGGGTTCTTGAGAAGAAGTCGAAAATGTGAAACGTTTACAGACGGACAGAGGGATAGACGGATAGACCAAGGACAAAATGTGATCAGAAAAGCTCACTTGGGCCTTCGGCTCAGGTGAGCTAAAAATGACAATACACTTGAAATGCTTACTTCAATATCTATCAGCTTATGAAGTTTGACAATAATTTAAGAAAAGCGAGGTCTATGTCAATGCAATGGTCAAGGTCAAAAATGTTGATGCACTTGCATATCTCTCATCATTATGTATCAACATATGGATTTATGTATCAACATATGAATTTTTATGAAAACATCTAGAATGATGTCTTTAATTAAAACTGACTTAAACACAATTTGATAAGAGTGAGGTCAAAATCAAATAAAAAGGTCAAGGTAAAAATTGTTGATGCAGATTAATTGCTTACATCAGTATATATCAGCAAATGAAGTTTGACACTGATTTAGGAAAAGTGAGGTCAAGGTCAAAGGAGATGTCAAGGTAAAAGATGTTGATGAATTTTAATTGCTATCATCACTATGTTACAGCCTATGAAGTTTGATA